TAGTAGTAGTAGTAGTAGTAGTAGTAGTAGTAGTAGTAGTAGTAGTAGTAGTGGTAGTGGTAGTGGTAGTGGTAGCAGAAATAGAAGTAGTGGCAGTAGTAGTGGCATGTGAGTGGGCAGGTGGTGTCTGAGGGGATACAGACCTATGAAGTGGGTATCGTTTGGTATCGTTTTTGGTATCGGTCTGAACCCATAATTGTTTCCCATCGAAGAAAAAGAAGGGAAACTTAGCAAAAATGAAATGGAATGTCCAGCTAGCATGGCAAACCATATGCAAAACAACCTTGGACATACACTGTCTCGAGTCTCGAGTGTCAACATTGTCAACAGGCAAAGATAGATTCCAAGAATGTCCAAGATGTGTACCGTCACAAGGCTAGAATCTTGTCCGACTGCAACCAGGTCTTGTACAATATGAATCCAGGTCTTGCCATTTAAGATACCGCTCATGTCCCGCAGATCAGACCGGCTGAGAGGGGCTGGCTGTAATCGCCATGGGGGTGTGGCGGGACGTTTCCTCAGATGATGAGGCATTCAAAATGGTGGAGGACAGTGCATCACACACGGGTTCAGTATGGTTCAGTATATATTTTTGGGAGGGTGGAGTCCGGGCGGAGGCTTAGCACAGCCTGTTAGGAGTTGACAGTTGAGCAGTCCACTTTTATGCACTGCGCGGGCCATTTCCTGGAGAAGGGGGCCCTGGATTGGTTCTTGCGCCAATGGAAGCGGGATTTTCCCTACGCAAGTGATTGCATCTTGGCTGAGGTTCAACTTGTTTCAAACCTGTTGAGTTGTGGCTTGCAAAAACAGCAAACCCATTAAGGTAGTGGGTTGGACACACCTTTGCAAGCCCTGAAGATGTTGTTTCAGAACCGCTTGGAGATATCCTACCTGCATCTTGACTGAAACTCAATCGGCTCACCAACCATGGACAGCTAATTTTGACAAAGGTCGAACTCCGAGATTGACAAAACGGCCCGTGCTTTCTTGAAGCTCAACTTCCCAAAGCCCAAGCAGCAGCTTGGCTTAATGAAGGGACTAATGAAGGGCTACACAACCCGCAGTGAGTTTTAAGTATTTTACTTCCGATTCCACGCCAAGGGAAAGCTCCGATGTCCTCAAAAACGACATGTCCCTGTTCAAGAAGAAGGCCCTTACCACAAGCAAAGGTCAACACTGATCAAACGTGTTTCAAACTGTATCAAACCCTTAACTGATCAGACCCTGAGGTGGCATTGTACACCGCAGGCTTTCCGTGCACGCCATTTTCGATGTTGGGGCAGCGGAAGTGTTTGGACGATCCCAATTCCAAGCAATTCTTTGCAGTGGTCGAGAACATTTCTGCCTGCAAGCCATGCGCAACTTGCCAAATTTTCTCCAAGTGCAGCTCTCCTCCAAGATCCAAGCTACAGTTAATTGACCTACTGAGGCTGCTATACTCGAAAATGTTCGAGGAATCTTGAAAGTGCTGGATGTCATTTTAGATGAACTCAAAGAAAAACTGCCAGAGATGCTCGTTTGCAGGTTGATTTGCATAATGACTATTGGAAGTAAGTACTATTGGACTTAAAGATGTGCAGCTATCACTATTCCTTGAGCAAGGTACAACATATGTGTGGTAGATGTGGATCCGTATCCTGGATGAATAAATGCGACGGATTTCTGGTTGAAATCAATGCTTCACCCTCCTAGCTTTTTCAAGGAGCAATTATGGCAGTCCGATTTCGCGGGACCGGATCTACATTGTCTTGGTGCTGAGAAGTTTGTCCCTCAAGAAACCCAATGATGACTTTGACAGATTTGCTACTGAAATCTGCAACAATCTTTCCATGGAATCTGATGTTGGGTGGTGGCCTGTTTGCAAAAAGCAAAGTCGAACTTCTTCCGTAAGCAGCTGTCTAGCGGTGGCACATCTATATAAGGCAAGACTTGCTCCTTCCTCGAGACCATTGGGTGGTCAAAAAAGAAATGGTCAATCGATCACTTCGGAACAAGGCTATGGCCAAGAAGTTGTTTGGCTGCACAAACTGAAACCCTCTCATCTTGAAATCTTGCCTGCACCTTTCATGCTAAGGCCAAAAGGAACTGCAAAGTGGCCAAAGCTCCATGCGAAATGGGCAGCTACGCACAAGGTCTTCAAGTGCAAGAATGCCTTCACCAAGAAGTATCCTGCAGCAGCAAAGCAAATCACATCTCGAAGGGAGCTTGAGGTGGGACAAATTAGTCGGTCTTTTTCACACTGAATGATTTACTGGATGTCCCCGGCTAGGCTCTGGATATCCTTTGCACCCACCGACCAGGGTTCTTGGCCGTGAACACTTCACAAAGCCTCCCCAGGATGAATCCTATGTATGATGACACTCCTTTCATGTGCTTGACGTCCGAAACACAGTCTTGTGATGTCTTGAGCAGCGGCTTGAACATCCCTTTTATTGTTTTTGAAAGAAAAACCAAGGCCAGGAGGTCAATACTTATTGACATGCAAGTCGCAGCACAGGTTCTTGACCGGAATCTGGGCTGCATTTCACACACCAGTTCTCGACGAACTTTATGCATTCAAACCACCCAAAAAGAAACAGTCATCTAGGCGTGGAGATGCTTCTCTTGATGGGGCTGCCTATTGATACTATTCGTTGGGAAGGATTCTCGAACCGCGCTCTTTGTCTGAACCAAATGTGCAGTACTCGGACACTACTACAATATGAGGTTTACTTATATGCATCTTTCTAACTCTAACCGAGGCCCTGTCAAAATTGGCAGGCAATGGAATGGCGATGAGGGCCATCTTGGTTGCAATTACTGTTGCACTGAGGGCAATGAACCCCGTGCTGGCACAGAAGTATCTGAAGTAAGCCTTACGCATCGGGCTGGAAATGGACTCTTTGCAGTTTTTGAGGTGTTGCATACACTGACGCTGACTTGCAAAGCACTCAAACACCCGAATCGTGTCTTGCCGGCTTTTCTACACAGAGTCTGTATAGTTTGAAACGGTTGTGGTTGACTAATCTAAATCCCAACAAACTTGGTCAATTTTGTCCTCATACCAAAAGAGAACCTAATACCAAAAGAGTTGAAACAGGGAACTTACACTTAAAGTGCCACCGCCCCGGAGCGATGGGAGTCCTTGGCCGCTACGATGATGAAGCGGACAAGTTGCAGCCTGCAAGAAAGGCAGCAGCTCTAGGGCGTTATGATGAGACATCATCAGATTCAGGTTCTTCGGAGAATCCAAATTGCACTTCATGGCTCTACCTTCTAACAAATAGTTTTATATGTTCGGTCATGTGGCTACGAAGTAAGGAATGAAGAGTCTGAGGAGTCTGAATCTTCAGAATCAGAGAATCCTGGCCAGTGCACCTCATCGATTTCATTGGATTTGGGACATCTTCAAAGTCTCCATACCTTGGGAGAAGAGCCATCCAACTCAATGTTTGCTGCCAATGGAATGAATGTGAAGCGCATCAAATCTCTGGTGAGTAACCCTCCATGCGAGTGCAAGTGCTATGTGCCATACGATGCCTTGAAAAAGGTTTGTCATTCTTTCTGGACCCTTGGCAAAGAATGCCAAGACGCTGTTCTGTGGAGCATCCAAAGTAAAGCCAAACCTGGCAGCACTTGGCACATTAACGGACAAGGGCTCTAAATGGTCCCATGCACTTTATTCTGTTTGAACATGTTTGACCGTTTACCCTGAGAGGACACCAGGTGTGCCGGGAGGCATGGGTGAAGTATATGGGAATCGGAAAGGAACGCATTCTCCGTACAAAACGGCGGTTCAAAGGATTGGATGAACGAAAATTGAATCAGGGCCTCTTGGCAACAATAAGATGTTACACTCAAACCAATTAATTGACTGCAATATCGGAAGAATCTATTTTAGCTGTCTGAGGAGCGACATCTCATTACGCAACGCAAACATCGGCCTGCAATTCCTTCTTTTCCCATTTGTATGCTACTGCTGGTGAATCGATGCCAACCAAGCTCCTTTGCCAATGTCAAGTTTCTTTGTCTCCATGCGCTCAAGTGTTTTTTTGGGATCTCTTGACTTGAGGTTCGAGACTTCGTCTACCGCTGAGAGATCAAAAACGGATGAAGAACTTCGGGAAGAACTAATCCGAAAGCTAATCGACCGGCAGTTATTTGGCCCCTCTCAACAACTTATGGATTTGGACCCAACAACTCTGCCGCGGCGCGAGCTACCACCAGGTTCGGTATCATCATTGTATTTGATGTTCGTTGCTTGCAATCGGGCCGCTGATGTACAGTCAGCTTCAAGAAGTACATTCTACACCACTGCCAAAAGATGGAAAGAGTGCCTTGTGTTCAGAAAAGCCAGCGACCACACGATGTGCGTCGAATGCCAATCATTGAAGACCAAGATACAACAGGCAACAGTCCTCGCCTCAATCTCATTTGGCCTTCAACCATTTCAAGTTGACATTTTGTCTGTTCCATGCCTGACAAATGCCTTCTTAGGAGTTTGGTCGCCATGCGAAGCTATGCGACCAGCTGTTAAGTCATTATCACAGTACATATTTGGACAGAAGAGTGTACTGGGCCGCCCGTGACCGGGCCCAGGTCCATAGAGACATCATCACCTGCATTTGCGATTCATTTGACAAATCAAAAGTTGCTCTTCCTCAGTGGCCCCTAAAGCGATGCCCCAAGCGTGCTGTTTTCGAAAGATTTCTTCGTTACTTGGCACAGAGAAATGCTGCAAACCATTTTGCAAACCAATGATGATTGTTTTTTCGCATTGGGCAAGGTGCACATTTGATCCTCACGGCGGTGATCTGTCATGGGTGGGGCTGTTGGCTATACCTCTCCACTCAAGAGGGGATATCTGGTGGAAGCTCATGGAATTGGGAATGCGTGACTAAGTTGCATTTGGCGGAATTAAGAGAGGGGGCTCACCTTGCTTGAAGTGCCAGGTGATGCGAAGCTTGGAGAAGGTGTGGATCCGATGCAGGGCATCCAGCAAACCATTCCCACGGGAGTTTCTTTGCCTGAGGTATATGTCTGGGGGGGAGTGTGGCAAATGTGGGATATTTTTGTTAAGCTGAGGCTGTTCCTACAGTCGGACAACACAGTCAAAGAGCTGCGAAACCAGTACAGCCATCGAATCGGAGGAGCACTTGTTCAAGCAAATGTATTCCGACAGGTTGGCCTGCACCACATGGTGCCAGGCCACACGCATGAGGATGTCGATGGAGTGTATCTTGACTTTTGTTTGGCAGCGTTTTGTTTTGGTGATTGCATCCAGTGGTTTTCGAGCTGCAAAGGTTCAGCCTGGCAGCGGCAAGCCTGGCAAGCGCCAATGATATACAAACGCCTTCGGACATCCGGCGTCGGTTGCTTCATTCTCTGTCACCAGTATTTACCAAGCGTGGCTGGGACTTTGATGTAGAGCTGATGTCAACAGTTGCTCGACCGAATGATCAATTGTATTTAAGTCATGAACACTGAATTGAACGTGTTGATGGTTTCAAGGTTCGTGACTGGGCAAGCATCGCTCCAGACCATGTGACCTTTAAAAACTGCTTCAAGATCCGGAAGCAAGAGGAAGGGAAAGACATAACTCCTGTCCCTCATGATTTCACATTCTTGGCCAGGCAGGATATGCCCAGTGGAGGTGAAGGAATTCCCAAAAGTGAAAGAGTTCCGCGTGCATTGCGGGACCCCTCTCAAACTTCGCGAGACATCTTCAGCCTTGTAAAACAAAGGATGTCATCTACAGCACTGTGTCAGGATCCTTTGCTTTGCATGCCAGGGTCCTTGAGTTCAATCGCAGAGCAGTTCGTGTCCGATGCCAGCAAAAACAGCAGCCCGAAATTGACGTGGCAGCTTGAATCCGAACGCCGCCAAGAACTGTCGTTGATCTCAAAGGGGATTGAGCGAGACTTTCCGCATTTGCGACGAGCAGTTGCATGGTATGGCACCATGCTGGAAGAATCTCCAGTTGCCGGCACAGTGCCAGATTTGAGCTTTTTGAGGAATGCGCCAGCCATTTCTCCCAATTTGCACGAATTTGAGTTGGGGGCCCGGGAGCCTGAACCACGGCCCCATTGTCTCCAAGTTGCTTTCCGCAGAGGGTAATCTTTCAGGATTGATGGATTGGGGTGCGCCAAGAAAAGGTTGCCTTGTAGGATATTTTTGTAACTTCAAAAATATTCAAACATGATGTACAAACTAAGCTTTGATCCAACTCATTCATGCCAATTTTGAAGTTTCTTGGCTCTCAAGATTCTGAGTGAGAGCAATGATGGATGCAAAACAAGAAGACCTTAAAATGGACAACCCCAATGCTCCCGCAGAGAGTGGGGAGAGTGTGGTGGATCTCCTTTGCGCTGCGTTTGAGTCTGTGACTTGGAATAAACAAGAAGTGCCTGTCCAGACTTCTGCGCTGGTTTGATGATGCTTGATGTACTCAATGTACTCTAGGTGATCAGTGCAGGGAACTTTGGAGACTATGTGATGAACGCTTGGCCCACCAAGCTGGATATGGTGGAGGTGCCCAGCTTAAATTGTCATCAGTACGGTTTTTCATATCACTGCTGTGTTGTCAAGCAAAATGTTTTGTCCAAAAGAAGGCTGTGCGTGAGATTGTCTACAGAGCTCCACCAACGAAGCGTTTGACCACTTTGCTGCCAACTTCAAGCAATGATGAGTTTTGGTTGGGTTTGGATAGCTTCGACCACACCCCAAAAAGCAAGAACGGGTGTGCCTCGGTTCAACTAAGGGTTTGTAGTAATTTCAAGAACATGATCATTGCTGTCCCGTTGCAGACTATCCCTCGAATACTCAATTTGCTGTGCTCTTCCGCGACTTCGTGGTTGGCGGGTACAAGTCGCATTTCGATGCAGTGATGTGCAAGTTCCCTTTTCGGGAACGCGATGGCAGCCTTCAGATTCCGGATGGATCTGTGGGTTGTGTCGATGGTCAAACAAAGATCATGACGATGTTCGGGATCACTTTGCTGTGCAAAGAAAAGCTATCACCAAGTCAACTCATGGATCCGACCATCCAGGATACTCTTGCGTCGTTCAGGGCCATCAGATGTGCTTACACGCACTACGACAACCCAGCACATTTTTTCTTGCACAGCTTAAGACACTTGTCTCTAAATTGCCATTGTGCAGCATCGATGTGTATATTTCTGAGTTTGATATTATGCAGCTTTGATTTTACTAAGAACTCGGGTATGTCACTGCGGAGAAGCAATCTCCGTCACCTATCTCCATCCTCGCCAACATCGCCGAGTCCATCAAGATTCACCAACGGCTCTCCAGTGTCAAAATTCCCTTGAGGGACGCCATGTCCAAAGTCTGTGCAGAGTACAACAAGATGGTGACGCTTCGCAGGCACCGCATCGATTCAGGTAGGAGAGGCCTGATCTTTAACCTGCATCTTGGTTGCAATGGTCGATGCAAGGCTGAAACATGACAGTTCAAAGATGTTCAAAGTCAAATTGTGTCACATTGTCCTGAGTCTGCGGTGCAATGATGAGATTTTGGCACGTTTGCACAGCCATTATGATGAGTTCCCTCATCAGACATCAGGCAATAAAACCATTGTCTTTGCCTTGTTTGAAGTTTTTTTACTGCCATCAAGTCTCTTCTGCAACGGTCCTGCAGGTCTTCCTCACGAGATACTACAAATGGATTTCTATGTGCCAGGTTCGCTGAGCAGAAAGGAAGACGTGAAGTACAAAGGCAAAGATGTGTTCCAAGAAGTCCTCACCACGACCATGGCTACAGCCCTTTGCTACGTGGACCGTGCCACCAAGGACTTGTGGATTCAGGGATTCAAACTTGAGGGATGAATGGTTGACTTTGTCAGGACTTCGCCCGGAGGGCTTCGAAAGAGTCAACACAGAAGGCTAAGGCTTGAGCGGATGCATATTGACAGTTTTCCAAAGTTGTCCCAAGTTGATTTCTAAAAGTACTTCGCCCTGCAGAAATCGCATCAATTGGACGAAGATGGCCATATCTTGCTGCATGATTCCGCATGCCTGTGGGTATGGCTGAAAGACAAGATGTCTACGACTTTCTCGCACGAGATCATCTCCCAGCACCAGGATTTGTGGGAAGCTGGGCAGCTTGTTTTTAATGGCTGGTTAGGATTTAGTTTGTCGTGCTTGCGTTTGGCTGCTCGCCGAATGACCTGTTCAACTTTTCATGGGATTTCCAGAAATCCCGTCGCAATTTTGGAATATGATTTGGCCGGTGCGCGGACGGACCCGGGAAAGAAAGTCAAAAAAACCCGTCACATTTGGGTCATTGAAATCCAACCTCCGAAAATCAAGGGTTTTCTGGAAACCCCATCACATTTCTCAAGTACGCGGAAGAATCAATCACAATCCCAACCTAGTTTTGAGGCTCCGGAGTTTGATTGATTTCTTAAAAACATATTGAATTGTGATGGGGTTTCTGGAAACCCCGTCACTTTGGGGAGATAAGATGTTGATGCCGGAGTTTGATTGATTTTTGGTGAAATAGTATATTTTTCGATTTTTTTTTTTGGCGGCCGGGATATGTTATTTTTGAGTTGGACCGGTTTCCCTTTTGATTGAATTTTTGATTTAAAGACCAGGCATTTGGACGCTGACCTGCAAACCGTCGTCAAAGCCGCCGAAAGCAGTTTCGACTGGAAGAGAATTCCATTCATCTTGGAGGCCGGTGTGTTAGTTCAGTGACAGCGGCAGCAGATTCGATACTTTGGTTCCCTGGGAAAGTTTTGATCTTTTTTGGTTGGGTGAGTGAACGCTGGCTCGTATAGTGGCATGGAATCTGACAAAGGCTCAGGGCAAGTGTGTCAACGACTACCTGGTTGCCCACCAAGATCGTGCACGCAATGCCCTGCAAAAGTCCTGGGAAGCTGGACTTGCATCATGGCTTTCAGACCTGCAAACTGACCAGATCAAGTTCAAAAGCGACAAGATTCTGAAACTTTGCTGCATACTGACGTGGTCAGATGTCCTCTAGAAAGAGATTGAGTATGATTGAGTTTTAGAGTTTTTGACAAATAGATACTTGAGGACAGAGAAGGAGCACAGCAAAAGCAGAGGCAAACTCGTGCAGCAACTCCAGGACAGATTTGGTGCAAGGAAACAAGAAAAGTACATTTTAGTTTCAAGACTTGACAACATTTTCGCGAGGAAGCTCATCAGCGGTCTTGGGAGGTTGTGACCAAATTTGTGGAGACCAATTTGGTCACTTTCCAAGGGAAGAGTGCCGAGGCAGAGTCAACTGTCCTCCCCAACTGCAGGTCATGGATTAGATCTGCATCCTCAGAGGTGGGGACAGCTCCATTCGACCACTCGATCGTGCTGATGCTGAACGGACCTACGGTGGGAGTATTCTCAGCGACGCAGAAATCATTCTTTCTCAATTTTGTTGCCAATGTCATCGCAGACCACCCGCAGAATGCCATTGCCTTTGTTGTTCACCCAAACAGGGCAGGGCACAGGGATATGAGGCTCATGGGGTTGTTAAGTTTTCTCTACAGTATTTTCTTTCAACCAGTGGCAGTCAAATGTGGTCGTGCCATGTTGTGCAATTTTGATGGGATTATCAAATCTGACTGTCAGGAAGCCGAAAAAGGAGGAGGATGCGTTGGCGGAGAAGTCAATGAAGGCTGATAATGATTCCGATGAAAACAACGATGATGATTTAGATGATGATGCTGATGCTGACGAATTCCTGATTCGGGACCTGCAGCACAAACTGGAGAGTCTCCTTTGGAATATTTGAGACATTTAAACTTAAACGGTTCTAATTTATATTCGGCATTATTTCATTGATGTCAATTCTGTCTTTGCTGCGTCTTTCTTTTGCACTCACCGGCATTTCCTGGACCGTTATGTTTAACTAGCCTCACCTTCAGTTAAGGAGTGACTTTGCAATGAAAGAGCGAGGTCTGAGAGTGAGGCCCATAACATGGGTCTTTCAACCAGTGTCTGGGGAGGCATTTTGGAAGGTGTTCCTATTGTTACTTTAGTTTCAGTCAGGTTTTTGAACTGCTGGTGGACTGGTGCACCAATGACGTACGTGAGGAGACCGTATACGGCAAGCGTGACGGCACTATCACCGGGATGGCCATCATTTCACGTTCCAACTCCAACTTCTTCAAGCAGACCAAAGCATGGAAGACAGGAGTCATTCACCAAGTCCCTATGCTTGCCAGATCGGATATGTTCAAGCCAAACCAGGTGGGCAGCAGCATTGCCAAAATGTGCATGGTTGGTTTTTATAAGGGATGAACAAGCGACTGTACGACCATGGCCCTGTTTGCTAATTGACTGAGTTTTTGCCAGTAGCGTTCAATTCCTTCTTGTGTCCTAAGGGGCGGTTGGGCCAGAATTGGTTGACATGCAAGTTCTCGATTCCTTCTTTTGTTCTGTGTGTTTTGAAGTATGCTTGAGGCATCGCCAGCGAAGGGAGAGAATCCTCTTCCACATTTGGGGAGGGCATTCACGGATGTTCAGGAACTTCGCCAAGCCGCGCTGAGTGATTCAGAATCATTGTGAATGTGTTTGGAATGAGTTATTGAATATGGCTCAATTTTTTCATATTGAATATGGCTCATTGTACTTAGTGGTTTTTGCCAACCAACCAAAGGCAGCTGGTGGAACCGCGTTCGTGCACCGTACTTTGGAGTCTTTCAGCTTCCAGTCTTCAAAAGCCACGATTTTGGTCGACATGTTTGGGTATGATGCGGCTCCGGGTCTTGCGTGTTTGGAGGACGTCCTCTCGTTTGTTATTGTGCCTCACGTTCATTTGCTTCAACTAATTTTCTTGCCTTCCACAAGCACGCGCCCCAACTAACCTGAAACCTTCCCTCAGGATATGGTAGATGGGAAGAAATGCCTATGTGCTACAATATCCCTGGACAACTCTGGCAGTGACATTGCCACTCGATTGGGGAACACTGTGTACAGTGGTTGCCGGGAGGGTCGGCTTTCTCTACCAGGATTTCCCGACATTGCACCCATCCTGGGTGCAATGAAAGTTGGACCAACAGCAGAGGCCAAGACCTACAAGATCTGTGCACAGGTCCACGACAAGTTGGTTGTCCTTGAAAGCCTGGCCAAGAAGTTTCTTGAGGAACCAACAACAAAGGATCGGGCACAGGAAGCAATTCAGCTTCACAATGAAGAGTTCAACGTGGGCGGGGACTTCGTTTTGGCTGAGAAGACTAGGACTCCTGTGTGTTTAAAAAGACTTGTATCCGATCCAACCCCTTCCTTTCGGCAGCGGGGTATCCCGCCTGCACAGGACAGAAGAAGGTGATGAAACCAAGGTCAAAATGGAGACGATGAAGCCTGTGAAGCTGGAAAGCTGCACAGAACAGCATGTATCGACGTTGGAGAACGTGTTGCTTGCTCTTTTCTGGTATGAACTTTTCATGACAATTTAAAGAAACAATGAGGGGCCAGTTGTGTTTTTAAGGGGTTGTTCTCTCCTGCTTCACCAAGGGGTTGCTTCTTCTAATTGGAATTCTTTCGTGGGGTGAACATCCCTTCAATTTGCAAAGTTTCTTACCAAGCAAAACATGGTGCCATCCTTTCATCGGCTCTGGGGCTCAACAACTAAGGAAGAAACTCCAAATTAGTGGTTCATGCGACTTGATCGTCGGCGGCCAAAGGGGTGAGGAATTGGTAATCACCAGCAAGGGGACAACCCAGTTTCTCGACAAACGAGAACTGTGCCTTGGCTGTGAGAATGGGTTCATGTACTGTAATGATGTCAAATGTATATATGTTGATGTTTGTTTTTCACGTGGGACTTCTTATATTACCTGTCCTGCCTCCACCCAAAACTTGGCACAACCTAGATTCTCATTTGGAGCCGGTGAGTGGCGAGATGCAGCAGTGTCTCGTTTTGCAAGACCATTTGCCTGTCTCACTTTAGTCTGGGGTTAGACATCTCAGAACTCTAAGGACGCAAATGAGGTGATGGAGGACCCAGAGGGCCGCTGGTTCAGCTTCAATATCAGTCAAACTGACCTGGTGATCCTAGAGAAGGGCTCTGTACCAACACATCTATCTAAGCTCGACAACCTCGAGAAAGCTGTGACTCTGCAAAGCCTGTTGACCGACCTTGCAGATCAGGGGGAAGTGCCTCGCAAGATTTAGTCTGATACATCACTTTCAACGCCCACATCCCCCCACCCAGCACAATCAACCAACATTGGCCACGCCTTCATAGAGTTTGCTTTCTAAGTCGTCAGCCATTCCAAAACGAAGACCTTGGAATATCGGACGTAGCCGGAGAACAATCAGGTCAAAGTGGCGATCTCGCACCATGAGCTCACAGACAATGGCCTCAAAAATGTGAAGAGCTTGGTATTTGTCTTGGATGCCTTGGGGGAGGCGCCAACCAAAAAGCGCAAAAAGACGCTCACACAGAAGAACTTTGGAGCTCATGTTTGCATCTCCAAATTGAAAGCCGAGAACGATGTTTTGACAATTGCTTGGCGCTGCAGGCTTCTAAGATTAAATCATGATATATTTATTTTCGGCAATTGATGTCATAAAGATATGTCAGTTATGAAAAGAGCAAACTAGAACATTTATTTACCACTCAACATACCTGGACCTGGACTGGAGTTTGGAGAAAAGAGCCCTGATCCTTCTTTAGACCGCAAAACCTCCCTCCCCATATGTCTGACTGACTAGTGTTATATGTGAGAGATTGGGAGAGTTCTTGCAGTTCCGCTTCACCGGAAAGCCCACTACTGTAAAGAATGAATCCTCACTAAACTCAGTTGAATTGAATTGTGAAACCTGTGTTTAGTGCCCAAGGCTTGATTGCAGCAAAGCGGATGGAGAGAAGGTTGTGACTCCGATCAGGCCATGTGTATGCACCCGAAAGCCACTGGACATTTCGGAGGCAACCGTCCGACTGTTGTGATTAGAATAATGATCCTTCCCAAGGCCAAGTCCACCATTGTTTACTAAACAGTTCAACGATGTCCGGTCTTATAATTAGTTCGCTTATGATTGTATGTTTGTTTGATTGGTTGCCTCAGTATGGAAAAAAGGTTGCCTCACAGCAGGCCTGATTTTGTCACTATATTTAGGGTGCACTCGAAGAGTGCTGATTCGGGGGATCTGAGTTTGCGCACCACCACCCATCCGTGCTTGGGTGCCCGCGCGTGAAGTGTACCTCGCTCGCAAGTGCAGCAAATGGACGTGACCACTACAAAGTGAAATTGCATGAAACTGCATTGAACAAAGTTAGCTTATGTCCGGCAATCGCTTGTCTGACCTAAACTATCAGCTTAAATACTTGTGCTTGATGACACTGCAGCACTTTAAGTGGCTGTGGGCTGTGGGGTTGGTTGCATCTTGGCAAACATGCCCCGAGATGCATTGGATAGTGATGTGGAGGAGGTTCCTCTTACTACCGTGATGCGTGCACCTGCACCTAGCCAACATGTTGCGGGAAGGAACGTTTGTATGCAAGCCTTTAACTACTTTCTTTTTGCGTGAACTGTCCAAACTCATTGCATCTGAGGAGTTCAATTTGGAAGCGCTTCTTGCTGGACATGATGGAGTTACACCACCTCGAAGGCCCATACCGGTGCCTCCTGGGTCAGCGGCGGCTGCGAAGATAGATCCAACGCCTGGACACCAATCTTCGTCGGCAGCTGGATCATCAGGTCTTTGTTGTGGGATATTACTATAGTCAGCCAATATCAAATTGTTAGTTCACTAGATGGAGCCATGTTTGTTCTCCCCTGGAGGTTCTGCTATCCACACATTGCCGCCACGGGTGCGTGATTCTGAATCATCTGGTGACCAACAACCCAAGAAGAAACCAAGGAAACCCAAAGGACAGGCTAAGAGCACTCAAAAGAAAAAGGGAAACAAGGAGGAGGAGGAGGAGGATTCTAACCATGTGCCATTAATGGGACCTGGTGATGATGACGAAGATGAACCTGATGGGGATTCCATTGATGCAGAGGCATCAGCGCTGGCTGCACTCAAAAAGCCTTCTACCAAAACTCCAAAGTCCAAAAACGAGAAGAAAGCTTCAACAAGGAAGAAGGGTGGTCGGCCTCGCAAGCAGGACTGATTTGTCACTTTACATTCTGGAGTTGTTTTCCCAAACTGGCTGAATGCGTCTTCCCTCCCTCCTGTAAGGACGGCTGGAATTCTGAAGGGTCTGAAAAGTGCGAAAGCGAGGAATCACATGAATTGGCTTTCTTCTCGGTCATTGAGGGCAAGAATCTTGGCAACATTGGGCAGTGCATTGCTGGTTTAACACAGGTTAGGTTGACCACAAGTTCATATACTCAGGAGTGATTCTATAGATGGCATGGCCCAGCCTGTTCTTCCTGAAGTGTATCAGCAGGTGTGTCAACAAGTTTTTTTAATGCTGTGGTGAAGCGTCTGGATCGAGATTGTAAAAGGAAACCCTTCCCCTGCAAGGAGCCCACTGATTCAGCAGGCCTTCATGACAGTGACAGTCTTCAAGAATTGCTGGAAGAGGTCGGTCCTGAGATGGCGGAGTCTTGGATCAATCGACTTGCAGTCTCTTGTTTGGTCACTCCGCAGCAAAGGATCCCTATGATGACTCCTTCCACCGATCAGGGGCAAGGTATTTCACCGACTATTCTCCGTATTTGGAGATGATCACTGGGGCCCTGCACCTTAACTGTATGTTGAACATGTCAGTTGATTGTTTCCTTTGAGTTTCACAAAGCCCAAAAAAGACACGCCCTTCAGGCCAAACCTGGAGGCACGCCTGGAGAACCGCAGGATCCGGACTAAGCAAAACTCGTTATTGCTGTGCAATTGAAAGAAAATCACAGCCACAGTGCATGTGCGTGTGCTACCACCTGTGTTCCCACATTTTTTTGAAGCCAAGGTGGATGCAGGACAGCTTGGCATTGATGTGAACCGGGCTCGGGAGCTTCTAGCCCCTGAGCTAGTGTCTACAGACCAGCACTTGGTTCATGGGCCGTGGAACTATGATGATTCCCATATCATGACGCATCTTAAAGCCACTCTCCGTGAATGCGACCGCAGGGACTTAGTTAGGAAGATCAATGAACGCGTGGAGCCTGCCACCGATGGTGAAACCACAGAGACTTTTCAAGATAGTCAGGACCAAGCCAATCATCCAGTGGGCCCTGAGGCCGGGGAGACCTATGAACCTCTTTATTGCAATGGAGGTTGTGAAGCGTTTGAGTCTGAGGAGGCTAACAAGAAAAATGACTCTGAGACAACCGCTGAAGTCTTTGAGCCCGAAGGACAGCCACATGACTCTGAGACAACCGCTGAAGTCTTTGAGCCCGAAGGACAGCCACATGACTCTGAGACAACCGCTAAAGTCTTTGAGCCCGAAGGACAGCCACATGACTCTGAGACAACCGCTGAAGTCTTTGAGCCCGAAGGACAGGCACCAGCTGGCAATGAGCTTGTTACCATTATGGAAACTGAGTCTGAGGGAGAAGGGGCTCCTGATGACGAGGTTTCCACTGGGGATGAGTCCCTTGTTCCATCTGAAACGATGGAGGGGAAACCACATGTTGAAAACGCTGTTCCTTCTCAGCCAGCACCCAAAGAGCCAACAAAGAAGGAGCCAGCAGGGGCATCATCATCCTCAAAAGGCAGACGTGCGACTGCAAAGGCCAAAGCCAAGCCCAAAACACGCCCGCAGCCAAAACCAAAAGCCCAAGCCAAAAAAAAGGCCAAGGCAAAGAAGACCAAGTCCAAAGATCAGAAGAAACCTGACGCGCCCAAACGACGCGACCGCAGTACACTTGCCAAGAAAGCCCACAGCGTGTCTTGGCACAACGTATGCGCACTGTCTTTGCACACCGTCATTATGTGTCATTTTAAACCCCTTAGTCCAAGCCGTCCAAACAACATCCCAACTGCCACCACTCTGAGGTGTATTCCACCGAATGGAAGAAGGCCAGGACTGAGGGTCAAAACAATCTCGAATGCAAAGAACGCGCATGGAATGCCAGGAAACAGCCACCTGGCATGTCCCATCTTTTTTGGATGGTGTATCAGTGTATCTGTTTTTTCTTTTGGTGGAATTGCCAAGCATACTTGACCCAGGTTCCTACATGACGTGGGCACTACGGATATGGAACCTTCTGATCGGGTTTGGGTCCCTCAATTCTTGACACCTTTTAGGTCTGACTGAAGCACTCAGTTGCTTCCAAGTTTCCGTGCGTTCTGGACGCAATGGATCCGCTGGGGAAAATGGCTGCGGCGGTTAGACACAGTTCCAAAAAACGGTGTGACACAGTTCCAAAAACATCCCAAAACCAATAAACTCAAGATCCAGTTTCAATTTGGAAAGGATCTGGTTAGGGTTGGATTGGATTCTAGGTATCGTTTTTGGGATTGGTATCGTTTTTTCAAGGAAAATGCAAATTGCTCATTTTTGAAGAACCGTGAGTGCCGACCTTTAGCACTTTGCTCAACTACCTTTGTAGAATACTTTGAATCATATCCAGACATCATATCCCCGACCCAAAACGACCGCTCGCAACTCATGACCGCACTCTGTCTTCCATGCATGTAAAACCCTCTCCCACAATAACTACAATTAATGTGATCGGAAAACCTCAAGCAAAGTGCACAAAACTCATCCAATCCTGGACGAACCAGAAACCTCAATCGAAGAAGAAAGCACCTTCCCACACAAACTCCTCCCCTCAAAACCAAGCCTCCAACCAAACCCAAGCGATTGAGTTCCATCCCCATGTGCAAACCTCTCTGGAACAGAGACCAGGATTCCCTTTCGGCCTCGTGGAGGTAGAAAGGGGTCGCTTCGAGACTCGGGTCACTCAGCTTCTCGAGCCATATGCCCCGCCGGCGGCGTGGTGTCGGATTCGTTCGATCAATCGGGAAATAGCTTCGTAGATCGACGAAGGAATCCAACATCCCAACTCATCTCCAAGGTGCATTCGCTTCCTCTATCTATTTGGAGAGTCTCTGCACAAAATGACGGCTCCTCTCATGTGCCAGGGTATTCCCATAGCAACAAGGCGTTTGCAACGTTGAAACAAACAAATCCATGCAAATCCTTCCTGTTGATGGCTGGAAACAATTGTAACTAGCTTTGGATATATAAATCATAACTTTTTACAGGCGGGTTACATGTTGGGGGAATGTCTATTCTATCAATCACTGGAATCATACCACATTGTTGCAGTGTTGCATGAAACCGATTGCCATCGCCAAGACCTGCCTATATAGACGCAGGACGCAGCGCCTTACGGGCCCATGACATGACCGGGCCCATTGGCCTCCCCACAAACGACCAGAGTCACGAGGACCATGGCATACCATGACAACTTGCTAAAAAGTCCGCAGAGCACTAGGGGCTCCTGGCATCGCTACTAGGAGCAAGGACGATACTAGGGGCTCCTGGCCGTACTACTAGGAGCAAGCAGCTACTAGAAGCAAAGGGCATCGCTACTAGGAGCATCCGTGAGAAAGGAAAACCTGACCCACTCAGCCCAGGACCAGCTGCCCTTTCGGCTTGCCACGGAGCGACGATCGCTCCCCGAGCGCGCAAATGCTGCTGGCCACCGACCCCTTTGTTTGGTGAGCATGTCTTCAATGAGATGGTGGATTGAAAAACAACTTGCACAACCCCAGCCGTTGCAAGGGCAGGGTTGCAGAAGGGCAAAGGTACAGGGTACTGGGAGGGTGAAACTTCGCCTCGCAACCATCACCTCTCCCCAAGGGCTGCTGGTAGCACAGCAGCACTCACGGCTCGAGCTTTGTGAAACATGAGGACAGGGCAACAGCGCCTTTTTCACCCAATCTTCATCAGTCACTGACACCAAGTCCAGTAGACCTATCTCTACATCCTTGACCTAACCAGAAGCTTTCACCCGGTTGGACGGCACAGCTTCAGAATGTTCAAGGATTATCCGTCTATCACGACAGAGAAGCATCCAACCACAACCACAAGAGTGGTCTGCAAAAGCTGAGAAGAGGAACCTTTTCAGGATCATCCACCTTTAACTGCAGGCGGCTGGAACACGACTCTGGAACTTGGAGAAGTAGCAAGCTCAACCTACTTGGAGCCCCCCAGGGCCAGAGACAAGTCAGGGACCGTGAAAACTGAAAACATCTCAGAATCGAGCATTTCCGAGTTCGGCAACCGTGACGCTTCCTGAGTGCACTAACTTGGGAGCATCCCCATCTCAAACCTCGAACAAACCGATGACACACCTTGGGGCTGAACTTGAAGATGGCTTAGACTGCTCCAACATGACAACTCGAGGGCCCACGCCAATACATGGGCCTCGTGTCCAGATTCAAGGCGTTCTTGGCAATTCTGGTGCCCCCCATCCACGACTCCAATCATGCATCCCAGCAGAGGAGGCCACCCACCTGAAGCCATTTGGCTGTGTATCGAAACCCAAACTCTCGGAGTCACAGTGCTGGGAAGTGCTGCAAAAAGGAGTTCCAGAGTCACACGGGCTCCAGAGTTCCAAGCAAGTTGCGAAAAGCGGGCCTAATCGGGCCTAGCTCTAAGGGAAAGAAGCCAGAACCCCTTTTGGCATTCTGGGTACACATTGATTTCAGGTCAATCTAAGGTGATTGGCCATGCCGCCCGAGTTAGCACCTGGATTTGAATGAAACTGTGGTGGCAGCTCCATAGTCCCTGAAAACAAAAAACACCCAAGGCACAGAGTCTTCATTCAATGAAATGGTGTTCTTTATGCAGATGTCCCTGGTCTTGCAGCCAGGAACAATCCTTGGGCTCTTTTGAAGGAACATGCCTTCTTCAAGACCTAAAGATATCTTGAAGATACCCAAAGTCACTCGGCCCGACCGAAAGTGAGCTCGTCGTGTGCTTCGCTCCACATTCCGACCACCCACTTCGCCCCCCCCCTCGCTCCAAACCGTGCAGGACGGCTCTTTCTCGCCTTGGACGGTCCATAGACCGGATTGGGCCCGGACGCGCCGCGCGTCCTGGCGCGAGCAGAGCACGAGCGAGGACACGTGGTACGAAGAAGCTTTCAACCCGCTCGTTGCAGGTCGTCAAGGCTAGTGTGTAGAGGGAGATCGAACAAAAAAAAGGCGAGGTCCCGGCGATGTGACCGGGCCTTTGAGAAATGAGTCTTCAGAATGGAGAATAAAGGGATCTTCCCTCTAGGCACAGGGCTCTTGAGCAATCTGAGGCACCACCATGATGCTCCGGGTTCAGGGAAAGTGACACGTGTGTTGATGACCACCACTCGATGCTGCGCCAATCTAGCAGCGCTAGAGAAGAATTTATATGAAGGCTGTGTGATTGCTGAAGCACAAGAAAGAAGTCTCTTGGCTGGTACCAGTTGAAAATAGTTCCAGGTCAGACTCACAAATGAAAACGTGTCGTGCACCGCACCTGAGGATTTCTCAATCTGGTATTCAATCAACATCAAGTTGCCAATTCCATCGCACTCCATGAATGAGAGACGAAGAAGCTCTCCTTCGTACTCCTCCCTCCATGCTGGCAGTCTGGCTGGGGAGCCTCAGGGTGAGAACTGAAGGAACACAGCGATGTCGGTATCGTGGTAGAACCCTGTTGGACCCCACAGAGGGAACAAAATCAAAATTGGCAGTTGTGATGGGTGGGAAAAGGACATCATCGCGTTGACGCTCTTCGCAAACACATCTGGGTCCTTCCCTTCAGAGGTCTTTGCCCAGCTAGTGGCTTGATTGAAGAAAATTGCAGGAAACATTCAGCCACAAATGACGTTCGACGTCTGGAATCTGGGACCCCACACCCATAGACCTGCAGTCCGGTCATTACGCCGCTCGCACTCACTCCGTGGGGGTTCACGCAGGGAGCAGGGAGCACACGTGTCTTCACTCGAGAAGAGCACGGCGGGTCCACTGCAAGAGACCGAAACACAGCTACACCATGGATGGTGATTCGACAAATTGTCGAGTACTGTTTGTATGGCCAGAATCACCTGTCAAGGCTGGCGTGAAAAAAGTGGCATCCCTGCTTTCTGTAATTGGTACACCAACCGGGTGTCATTCATGTTGTACCCTTTCCTTCTCTGCCCTGCTTTTCCTTTTTCCAAATCTGTTCTTTTCAGGATCAAGCGACGCATGTCCATGATTTCTGAGGAGAAATGCATTGAGTTACTAGGGGTCTATCAAGCCAGCCCGGCACCAAGACCCTAAACCCTAAACCCCCCCCCCCAAAAAAAAAAACGACTGCGGCAGGTCGTGCGTGGCAGGTCGACCCGGGTCGACGCATGCCTCACTTCAAGCGACCCATCGGATCCCTCACCTCGAGCGACCCATCGGCCCGGACCCCCCCAACGACCGATGGGCGGAGGCCACCTGGGTTCCTCCTCTTCCGATGGCTCTAACACGACCTCAACCAGACCAGACGACCACCCCACAGTAGCTCCGGGAACGCCCCCGTTCCAACCGTCTGCGAGGTCCGGTTCGGTTCGACCCGAAGAACCGTGACAGACCGTGACCGACGCCACCGGAGGGTGTGACAGACGCCGGTGGCCTTGTCGGACGGCTTTGGTGGAGGTGTGACAGACCGCGAGGGCTTGGGAACATCCCACTCCTGCGGGATGTAAAGCAGCAGGACGCAGGAACAGCAGGACCCAGGCGGGCCTAAAAACCAGCTGGTTCATAGCTCATGGAGCATAGATCCGTCAGGAGCTCATCGCTTCACTGTTTTCAAGAACATGGATGATCTAACGAATCAAATCCGTTCAGCATTGCAGCAGCGAAGTCCACATCAAAAAGGGATGCTGGCCAGGAAACGCTTAAAAATCCTTTGCTGTCTGGCTGGATGCTTTTTTCATGTTCATCCTCCAAACAGAATTGGTCCGGTTTTTGTGCCCCACTTCACTACACCTCCCTTTCTCACGCGGCCGGCCTCCCGGGACTGCGTGCTCTTCCAAATGATTCTTTGCTCCACCAGTTGTGTCAACCCCCACCATCGTCAATTAACGCACCAACTCCGGAGACGTCCACTCGATGATTCTTCGCTCCGACAAGGTGGAAGGCTTCCCGGCAGAGCCTTCGAACCTTAAACCGGTCAGCGGAGCGGGCGTGGGGGCCGGGTGGGACCGGGTGGGGCCCGGTGGGGCCCGGGCTTGAGTTGTGTTTTTTGGGTCCGGAAAACAGGGTGAAACTAAAACTGCTTAACAAGGTGAGATTGGCCACGTTTTGCCCCGACCGGTACCGGATTTGTGTTTAGTGCTATTTACTTCATTCCAAGCAGTGAAAGCTACAGACCACAAAACCAAGTCGACTGTGGCGCTTGAATGCAGCAAATCTTTGAGAACGGCTGGAACCGCCCTTGAACTGATGATGATGAGGAGGAGGAGGAGGACGAGGATGCACATCCATCTCACCCTTCAGACACGTCCTTTCGCCCTGTGGGGTGGAACCCTGCAAAGGGTTGCAAGTGGTGTTGGTTGAGCGCCAAAACAAGTCAATACCCCAAAAAAATGGGCAGATGTGTTCCATGTTCATGTCACCATGCCTGGAGCACAGCAAGAGCACAGCAGCTGTTCACACACCACATGTTCTCACACATGCACCTGAGGCACCCTGGCAGGCTACAGACCATGCTGCCTGTGTCCGCGTTCCGACGTTCCGACTGCTTGAGGTGTTCCAAAATCAGACAATGAGTCAGGATGAGGGTGACGAAATGAAAAAGTTTTTGAAGCAAACCCACTCGTTTGCGTTTCGATTGGGTCCAAAACCGTGGTCGCGCCTGAGGATGGCGTGGTCCTTGCTGCTTCCTGGAAGATGTCAGCCTGTTGGTCCCTGAGAAGCAGAAAAGGTTCTGGCCCGCCATCCTCATGTTCATTCACAACTTGGGGTCTGGAACCAACGACGGCCATGGCCGTTGATCTCACATTTTCGCAAACCCAACTAGTGATCTTCACAAATCCTCTGACGGCCATCAACCGTCAACCTCTGAGAGCTGTACATGAAGGGCATTTGCAGAGTGCCCAAGTGCTTCCTCCTCATCGACTCAAATGAACGCGCACAAGCAGCCATGGACGCAGTTGTTGGGGAGACCCAGGTACAGCTTCATCTAACTATATAACGGCTTGCTACCCCACTTTCTGAGTAGATATGTACCTCATGCAAAAATCCTCATCAAATCAAAAGAAAGGGTTTCACTTGTGTCACTTGTTTGTACTCTCAACTAGGGTAGTCAAACCCGCTGCGCCCGTCAGCGGCGCACCCAGGCACTTGCCGCAAGGCATTGGCCTGGCGAGTCACCCGAGTCACCCAGATGGAGCTGTGGAAGGGTCCGGTGGATCCACCAACAGCGCGCAGCGGCGGTGGGTCGGGCGAGTCGGCGCGCGCCTTCCGCTCGGCCCACAAAGCCTCCTTCCGTGGGGTGGCCTGGCCATAGAGCACCTGGCCACGCGAGTGGGTTCAACGGCGCACCACCGATGGTTCGGTTGGTTTCAGGAGTGTCTCAAATACACTACTTTTCAAAGGCAGTTGGCTTGCAATGCTTGGTTTGCTTCACTTCCCCGAAAACGCATGGCACCCTACTGGGCTATTGCAGCTTGGCACAAGGTGTCCTTAGATAACCCAAGGCACGGTGCAATACAACAGCGGGGATGCAGTACCACACATCTGGGAAAAACGCGGTGTGTTTCGGCTACACTCCACAGTCTGCTCCTCTGCACTGAGAATGACTGGGACAGCTACTGAATTCCTATCAGCCCTGGAGGAGCTTACGAACCAGTGCAGCTGGGAGAAGAGTCACGGACCGGAAGCACAGAAAGAAACCGGTCCATGACTAAGAAGAGAATCAAACATATTTATACCAAGCCTCCCTCAAGCTTCTCACAAGAACTACGGAAACTCAGCAACTGATCGAGGGTGTCGTTCTGTTCAACTCAGGTTCCTCCTTCCAAGCACATCACAGCTGCACCTTCCCAGTGTCGCAACCGATGGCACTCTGAGGCTCCTCAAAGCCTCGAGTGCCAAAAAGCCTCCCCTCCCGTTCCAGGCGGGGTCGATCCAAACATGACACAGAATCCACAACGCTTCGAGGATCTTTCGTTGTTTCTTTTCCGGTCCAATGAAGGGGTCAACCATGGTCAACCTATTCAACACACCCATCGGGAAAGATCTGTGCAGAGTTCGGGATGTTTCACTTCCTCCATTCTGGTGGATTCCTTCCATTTGGATGGTTGGCCGAAAAGTTGAAGATGTCTTTGCATATTCAAAAGGCAGTGTTGTTTGAAAAGGGTCGCAAACGAATTGGAACGATGCAACCTAACAACTCCAAAGCACCTCTCCTCGAAAACCTTCAGTCGACCAAAGCACCAGATCTCAGCCGGAACAAAGGGACTATTTTCACCCTGAGGTCGGAAGCCCGCCGCCACCTTCTCTCGCATTGACCAACAAACCAACCAACGGTCTAAAACGGAACCAGATGCCACATTCCAGCATAGTTGGCATGGGTCAAGCACCCGGGGTGATGCCACAAGTTGACACCAACATACTCTCATGCTATGGAAAACCATGGAAAATCAGCCACGCGTTCTTATGAGCCAGAAGCTTCTGCATTTCTGAGTCTCCAGGCCTGCCGCAGTCCTCACCAGCCTGGAGTGACAGCGAAAAGCTGTGGGGTAGTGACGGTGGGTGGCAAGATTTCTAAGAAGAAACTCCTGTTGCATCTGGATAAAATGACACCTATTTTATCTTATGTGCTTCGACTTAGACCACCTAACAGGGGAACAGGTTCACAAGCTCGCTCTCGCTCTCGCTCTCGCTCTCGCTCTCTCTCTCTCTCTCCCCCTCCCCCTCCCTCTCCTTAGATTTGAATGTTTACATACAATAATTAGCGCCAGTTCCCAACAAAATAGTCCCTATATAAATGCTAAAAAACCTCATGCGAAGCAGCACACACTGGGCAAAAAGTCAGCTTCCCACCCCACACTGCAATGAAGCTGCTATGTTAGTTAAGTGAAGCGGCTGCAGTCTAGTTACAGATTACAACATTAGAGATTCGGTCCTCCAACGAAATTAAACTGGGTATCGGTTATGGGTCAATGGTCCCCTGCGTCTCACAAAACTGGCCGGGCAAAAGTGGGAATAGTGGCCTCTGTGTCCTTTATACATGATCCAATCTTCAATTCAGCCCCGAAGGATTGCGAACGTTGACCGAAAACATGTCTTTCAGAGCCGCTGCTTTACTGGAAGCCAAAGGACACTGGCGGTAAAAAAGAGATGCGGAGTCCGGCGGGGACGACGTTTCTGTCAAGCTGCCATGTCTGACTTGATATATCAGAAGAAGAAGAAAAACAATGAAAAAAATAACAGGTTGTAGAAAAGAGTTCTTTGTGCCCTCAAAACAGATGGAAGAGTACACTCCCTGGAATCATCATTGAAGTGGAGAATGACCCCTTGCATAGCCAGTTTCCTCTACAAACAGAAGGTTTTCCACTTCCCAGATTATGATTATTCCATGGAGTGTCTCAATATCTTTCAATCCGTGAAGCCTTCTCTCTTTGGGGGTGGCCCATTTTCGCTTCGACCTCAACTGTGTCGCCTCTCCAATCCGCCCTCTGCTCGCCCGCGTTCCCCCCTCCTCTGTGCGCCCGCCTGTCCCTTGCTTCCGGATGCCAACCTGCCAGCTGGTCGCCCAGGGAGCTGCTGGGACCTGCGGCGTTGGGATCCGATCCAAAGGGTTTGGAGCTAAGCTGAGGCTCCATAGAATGCTTGGCACTGAGATTGTCCTGATTGATCATTGATCCCAAAAGCAAACGATGTGGTTGGAGGGTCGAGACTCGTTCGACCCATTCGTCAATGTGGTTAAAGAGAAAACATGAGAAGACTCAAGTCAGTCAGGGCTTTTGGCTGCACCAACCAACCTCTGCACAATGTTTAGGTCAGGATGGTATCAAGCTCTTCTGAACCTTAAACCAATCCCATCAAACCGACACAGCCCTCTACTGCTTCATTGTGCGGGTGTTTCCACCCATCTGAATACTCACAAGAAGCAACTCAAAGACTCCCAGCAAAGGGTTTCCTCTCCGAAGAAGGCATACCAAGTCACGTGTGTCTCGCTGGTTCAACCTTGTGAGGTCCACTGCATCCTTACAAGTCACCATGAAAGCTTCTATTGTCCCTCAAACTTGGGACCTTCTTGCTGGGTTTATGTCAGCTACAAGGTGGCTGTTTTGATTGCTTCAACAACAGGCGGATACAGTAAGCTGGGCCGATCCTCCTTGACCCCACGCACCACCTCGGATCGCGTAAGGGGGCCCGACATCCTGCAGAGCCGGAGTCGCTGTCCCGCGTCACCAACCTGCGTTTGGCGCTTTCCCTCTAGAGGCGAAGCCCGCGAGGAAGCGATTTGGCATGCCTCTACACCAAATCGAATCAACACATCAATGCCGTTCCGGTTGAGGGAGGCGTTTTCCTGCAGGTTCCAGCCAGCTCGGCTGATCAGAACATGGGTCACACGAGCATAACTCAGGTTGCAAGACCCAAAACCACCGCCCTCGTCCCCACACTGGCATGGCGGTCGCACCTCTTCCCCCGGACTTCATGAAGCTCGGCGCATTTCCGACCTACCAGTACCAAGGACCCTACAAGTGCAGGTCGGTCACGCACGACCCTGCGTGTCGTGCACAGTGAGCAAAAGGCGAAGAAGGCAAAGACACAGAAGACACATCTCCCTCAGGTATGGTTCGTCCACCAAATACAATTATGCAAAGATGGCAATGACACCGTAATGATTCTCCACACTTATTGTGCAGACTGCCAATCATCTGGTACTGAATTGGCAAGATTGTATTGGCCCGGTTGTCTGATGCTCGTGTCTGTGTACAAACAAACAGCTCATCCATGCGGAACATGAGACGCATCAACATCTCCCGGCACCTGCAAGGTCTGCGAACGCCTCCTGCCTCGGCCGAATTCGAAGGGAGGAGCCAGATGCATGCGACGTGCAAACAGCTGCACTGCTTGCAGAACCTGACTTTGCCCAGCTCAACCCTTGTTCTTCAGAAGCATCACCCAAATGAGTGACCTATGACCTATGAACCCGGTCAGGCTGAGCTCCAAAAAGCTTGCCCTCTGACCTTTTCAGAATCACAGAAGCTAGATCTCTTAGTGGCACCGCATTCTTCAATGCACAAAAATCAAAACTTATATATATATATATACAGCACATTCGCCCTTTTCCAATCATTGGGAAACCCTACCTGGCTCCTGATGTCTTCTCTACCCAGAGCTTTCGCTCCATTCATGCCCAAAAACGTATGTCTCTGGGGCCAAGCAGCGGGTCGACGCGTTTCTTGCCTGCAGCGGGTGGAAGAAACATCGATGTCCATTCTGCTCAAAAGGGCAAACCTTTGGAAAGCTCAAAAATAGACTCTCCCTATTTAAATACGCACCCATAGACTGTACATCGTAGTGTCATATATACGGAACACTATACCCTTCATATGCCCATGCGCGTCGTTTGTTACAAAGGATGGCTCTCCGAGAACAAACCCGCGCTTCTTGACGTATCGGTATCAGCACAGTGAAATCAGGGGCATGGATGTTGATTCTCCTTCACTGCTATCACTCAGCTTGCACTGGACACTGATGCAGATGTAGCTACAGTAAAGGTCTTCAAGCCTGAGGCAGAACGGACATTGATGCTGATCATGTATGATCATGCGGCAGGGAAACCCTGCGTTGCCTACACCAATAACTCTGTTGTGATACCATTCCAACATCAATGTGAAGATGTGAATCGTCCGTGGCAAGCGGTCACCCCGTGGCAAGCGGTCAATTGCCCGTTGGTCGGCGCTATGTTTGGCGCCTAGGGTCACCACGGCATCACAGGGTGAGTATCTGGTCTAATGACCTGATGGATCAACTCTCACACACCCCATACACTTGAGAGCCGGACGAGAGTCCGCCACGGAGCTCTTTTCGGTCACATGTCCTGAAAAGATCACCGATGAGGTGGCAACCTAGGGCTAAAAAAATGCCCAAAGCAAACCGTCTTGGAAGTGGTGGGTCCAACATGGCCACGGCCTCCAGAATGCACTGGCACAAGGGGCATTGGAAAAGACTATACATGACCCCGATCGGCCCAGTGGATGCACAAAGGGAAGCATGAAGAGAAGACCACACAAAAAGAAAGCCGAACTGGAATGATGGTACAATGCACCCTATGCCAGTAACATGACTGAAATACCGTCGACGGTAGCAGCTTGGAGCAGTGGACCACCCTGAGCCG